AGAGAACTGCTCCTGTCTATGCTCCTGCCCTCTGAAGTTGCCGGTCACAGATGCTGGCGAAACGTTAGGAAACAGAACTTCCAGAACAAGGCCACAACAGCGATCGTATTCTGGCCGTGAAAGCCTTCGACAATACATAAAAAATGTATATTTGTATATTACAGTGAATGCCCAGCCATTATACATACGCTGCAAAAAGCAGCAGAGTTAGATTTTAGTCATGCCAATTCTGCAAAGTAATCCAATATTGCTATACCTAGACAGGTAGGAAGAATGCTAACACTGTGGAGTAGTTCATTATCTAACTTCTTGGTAGTTTTTTATTTAGGGTTGTGCAGATTATAGAGGGAGAATGAAATTGATTACAGTAAGTAAAATACAGTATATCAAGGACCTGTTCTCATGTTCTCAAGCTTTTTTTTTAAATTAAATGTACAACTAAGCACAAAATCTGCAGTGTCAGGATGAAATATGCAGTTCTGAAAGCATCTATATAATATAAAATACAAGGAATGGGAAAAAAAGTATTTATTAAAAAGGGGTGAATCAACAAGTAAAACAAAAAGATGCTCCAGATCATGGCCAAATATATCTATTTCTTCCCATCCCCACTGCAAAATAATTTTACAAACTCTGCTGCTACCCTGTTCAGAACGCTCACCCAAGGTTTCCAAGATAAAGGGCAGAGTCATAGTTCATCAGCAGAGCCTGATTTTCATACAGAAAGTCCCAAATATAGTCTCTGGCCACCTTGGGTTGGTAAAGAATCCATCTGAAACTTTGAAAAATTACCACCAAAGTAAACCTGGGATGCCAAATGCACCCAAAGATATTTCTCTAGATGCTTGACAGTTTTCCTGCCCCTCCTAATGGTTCACATTAAAAAAAAAAAAAAATTTCCAAAAGCCTTCAGTATATACATAAATCATTGGCTCTTCTTTACAAATTCTCTTCCCAGTATGACTTCTGCTATGGAAAACATGCATACTAGTTCTACTCATGCAGCCCTATCTTCAAAATCTGAATTTTGAAGCAATTTTAGCATCATCTGAGGTTATTATAGTGAAGTCTTTTGGAAATTTACACAGAATATATACCACCTTTTATACGCATTTTTTCAGACTGTGTAAATAATTGTATTCTTGCACATTAATAAGTAAATTCACTCCATATTTCAGTAGCACGTGAATCCCTATTTTCTTTTTTAAAAAAAACCAGATTAGGCGATTGCAGCCAGATAATCTTTAACTTCAGTTGGAGTGAGTCTTCTAAATCCTGCCTCGTTACAGATGCCAACTTCTATGTTATCTTCAGTCATCTGTCCTTCAAAACTTTCCTAGAAATGAAAAGGTACATAATTTTGTTAAATAGAATGTCAACTTTGAAAGTTTTATCAAATTTAAAATGAACATTTTTCACCTTTAATGTCAAGATAGCAGTATGAATAGCATCTTCAAGCTCTAAATCTTCATTGTATCTGCAAAAGAACAGACATTTTCTAAGAAATTTAAAATATTCCTCCAGTGTTATCATAATTACAAAGCTAAAACCTACAAGAAGTGCAGAAATAGCTCCATAAATTCAGGAATTTTTTTTCTTGGTTACTTCATTGTCAAGAAACTGTTTTTTGGGCCAATAAAGCACATTTGGAATTTTTCAACTATACTAGGGACTGCCGTGGAGAAATAACTGCTATTGAGATAGAAGAGCTTGCTAACTGATAAAATGTCACAAAAAGGCTTGTCACCAGAATATTACAAAATACCAATTTACTAGAAAATAATGTGATAAAGTTCCTACATTCCTTTTCAACCCTTGCTATACTCGGTCTCTTTTTCTGGACCAGCTTCCAAAGTAGCAGCTTGTTATCACCACTGTTATTTTCTAAAACTCTTTGTGGGGTCTAAAGACATTTTTGTGAAGTAAAAGGGTGCTAGACTTGCGCTTGTATTACAGCATGGTGGAAAACCTGCTGTTGCATACAACTCCCAACTTCCCATTTACAGACCTCAGCCACTGCAAAACGGCAGGCTCAACATTTTACACCCCTCTCGTGTGTGTGTCTGTGTGCGTGGGGGGGGGGGGATTATTGGATTTAAGAAGCAACATGGATACTTTAAACCTCACACCATTTTTTTCCCCAGGGATGGGGGGTATCAAAATGGTGCTACAATACTATTTTGCCGCTGAACACCCCTTCTATCCCTTCTAAAAATAGACTCAGAAAATCAAACCAAAAATGTACAGAGATGAATTTGATGAGTTTGTATGGAACAAGATGAATTTTGAAAAATTCAGTTTTGCATGAGTTTTTAGCACTACTGTTTAACTATAAATCTTCCCAAGAATTTAGGAAAGGGCAAGCCAGAAATGGAAAATATTTGGGTTATGGGCAGCATGCTAAACTCAGAGAAAACATGTTTCACAGGCCAAACACAGCACTTGTTATCATATTCACTACCTGAAATGTGCGCAAGGACCACCCAAACC